CTACTCATCAGAAGATGATCAGGATGAATTTGGGCAAGAATTTGGAGATCGTTTTGCAACTCTCCTTTTGATTTTGCAAACAGCAAAGGAAGGCGGAGGTTTGTCCAGCAGTCAGTCAAATCACAGTCTAATGCCTTCTCTCAGGAACTGTCTATCCACATCTGTATCGCACAATTATTCCTGAAGCTGGAGATATTCTTTTCTGGACAAACTTAGACAGATTAGGGAATGGAGTAAGTTAAAGCACAGCATATTGATCGTGTTGCAGCAGAGGGAGACGATAATCGTTAAGATCTCTACATTCTCATAATCGCTTGTAAAAACACCGCAATTCAATCTCACCAAAGTCGAAATCATCGCCGCATGTCCTTATTGAACAGGCTACTTAAAACAGACTTTGAGTGCTAGGAGTTCTTATCCATCACTATGAAAAATATACCTATTTAAGGGCTAAATGTCAAAAATCTAGATGTATTTTTCAATTGGCTGAACAAGTTCACTTTTAAAAATTTCCCACTTATGGTCACTCTATGTTACGCTCTCTGCTCGTAGGTTCTGACATGTTTAATTTTCATTTATATTTAGTGTTACAGGAATTCGCTCACCCTAACATCATAATTGTTACTTGCAGAATGAAAAGTCTTTACACGGAGCCTGCCCTATCATCGAGGGCAAAAAGATTGCTGCTACACTCTGGATTCGTGAACACGGGCAATCGTTGATGAGCAATCCAATGGAAAGTGGTTTATTTGATATAGAAAAACTGATAAAACCAAGAATCATGTAAGCTCAATTCTTTCTTGGTTGTATAGCTGCGACGCTCTGGTGATAGTATCGAGATTTGTATTGTTGTAAATTACGTTCGTTTGTTCTTCCGTCTCCTTATCATAGTGATATTTAACGATTACTTGTTATAAAAGGAAGTGCAGCATTATAGTGTAAACATTTCAGTTCACATTAGTAAGAACGAAAGAGCACATGTGTCGATAAGACGCCTACATAAGGCAAGTTGAGGCCTGTCATAAGTCACTGGGAAATTATTATGAGTTCTCTGCGACCAATCCTTATATTTTGCTCCATCTCTGAGGAAAGGGAAGGGAAGCTAGCAATTTTATAAAGAACCGCAAGAATATGTTTTTGGAAGTTAGCCAAATATGTAGATTCACTTTTTTGCTGTATTTTACTTATAACAACATCAAAATTCACAAATCCCTTCAAGAAAACTTCCTTGTTTAACATCATTCAGCAAGGATTTGTAAGCCAGACCTAGCTTTGCTTATCGAATGGGACTAAAAGTGAAATGCAGTAATCGGATAAGCGTTCATTTACTGTGAAACGTGAAGTGCAGTTCAGTAAATACTTCTTACGGTAGAAGTTTTCAAACTGAACTGAAAAAAGCTCAATATTATATGTCCACTACGGCGGCGGCTCTCCGGGAATTTTTGTGAAAAATAGCAAAGGAGAAATGGTGTGGGGTCAGGGGTGAAGCTGGAGTTCATTCTCAATTAAGACCGCTCCCTCAACAATAAAGCTTGTCTCTCCCTTGCTAGCATCGCGCATGTGGCCTAGGTACTTTTTTATTCAATA